TTTAGAAGTTATTAATAAATTTTGCTAATTTATTATGCAAAATTTTAAATATTATAGTGATATAATTATAATAATTCAACATAATCTTATACTAATTATTTTTATGTATACAGTCGACTTTCTCTACTGTCACACCCCTTAGGACCAATAATAAAAAGTGTGACTATAGTGAAAAGTGACTATATAGAAGGATTTTTTATAGTATTACTAAGTATTGGTTCCAAAATGATGTGACTATAATAACATTATGATTATAGAAGGGTTTTTTTATATAGAGTTAATAGGAACTGGTTTTTATGAAAGATGTGCTTATAACGGAGGATTTATATGATGTGATTGTATAAGGGGTGACTGTAGAGGGGGTCGACTGTAGTTTAAAAGTAAGCACTAATATATATATTTAATTTAATTTCTAAATTCTTAAAAATGGATTGAAGGTAAACCTTAATAGAAATAATTTTAGTTTTTTTTTTTTAAAAAAAAAAAAAAATTTATTAACATTTTTTGTAAAATAATTTGATAAGTTAATATTAATACATAAAAATTTATTAGTAAATTTTATTTAAAATATCTAATTATTTTTTAAATCTTATTAAATTGTATTTTGTAATTTTTAAAATAATTATTGCAAAAATTAATCGATACATTTAATAGAATTAAAAAAAATACAGATTAAAATAAATCTTACATAGAACCATATATTGCGGGCTATAGTATCCCCCCTTTTTTTAACACATTTTCTATTGTTTTTATTATTCAGAAATCTAATTTTAACCAGAAATTGCGCATTAAACAATTTTCTGATAGTCATACAAGTCTTTAACACATTCTAATCTATTAATAATACTACTATTTTAATAATTAATTTCCTCCTTTCGGTTTTTGTTGAATTAATTTGTAATTGAGAACTACTGAAAAAACGGACAAGAGTTACAAGGTCAATCATTCGAAATTTGCAAGATACCCGGGGTACTATGGCCCGCAATATACGGTATGGTATGTATTGTTTATATTAATACATTATAAAAATTGAACAAGTATAACACAAGTAATGTTTATTTTAAGTTTCCTGCAGGATTTGCAATCCTAACAATTGATTCATATAATTTGAACATTATTATAAAAATTTATAATGCTTTATATTGGTAGTAATCTATTTCAAAGAATCACCAAGAATATCCTTAATTTTAACAAAGAAATTGATGCTTAATAAATATAATTCTAAACTTTTTAATTTATTATATAATTGCATTCCCTTTTTATAATACAAAAAAAAAAGAATGATAGGTAAAAATGAATTACGTGACATGTAAAAATGACCCCCTTTTTTGATTTTATAAAAAAACAAGCGCAGCTAAATTTTTTATATAATAAATATATTCAAAAGATTAGTTAGCTCACATAAAGAACTGAAAGTACATAATTATGGAACGTTATAATAAAGTCAACCTATATTATGTTCTAAAATATTTAATTCCATTATCCAACTTTAAAGGAGGAATTGAAAATTGATAAGAAATTGCTACCAAGTAAATAGAGAATTAACCAACTCGAAATTAAAAAAATAAATTGCCCGTAAATAATATATATAAATATATACACACAACTTGCACAACTTTTTAACCTTTTTTTTTTTTTTTTTTTTTGTTTTTTTTTTGATTGTTTATCAACATGGATAAAAAAAACCATCCTTCACCTTGCTACTTATAATTTTTAATCAAGCCTAAAACCAATTTGTTGAAAAATACAGTGTGCCTAGTTAGAGAAACATATGAAAAAGAAAAAAAGTAAATAAGAAAATAAAAAGAAAAAAAAACCACACTCATACGCAAACTCCTCCCAACAAGCTACAATTTTTTTTCATTCTAAAACTTCAACATTAATTTACAAATTGTAAAAACCAGAGAACAATTATATAATTCGTTGTTATAAAGTATACATTAGCATTCTTCCAATAATGCTTATTCATCCAACAAAAACTCTCAAAAAAAAAAAAAAAAAAAAAATTAATCAGACACTTGGTCGCTTTTTTTCTCTATTGCAATTTTTTTTTGTATAGAATATAACCATAAAAAAGAAATATAAAGCAGAAAAAATATATATATGAAAGTAGGGAAAAAAATTTGAAAAAAAAACATATTTGGAGTCCAATGAAAAAAATGTTATAATTTTGGGAAGTAATAATAAAAAAAAATTAACAATGTTGCCATGTCTAAAATAAATAGACTTATGGGTAATTGTCAGTCATAAAATTATGTAACCTTGGCCATTTCCTTCTTCTTCTGTTTGCGTGGCGGGGTTACTGGTCGTCCTGACTGCATTCCACCATAAGCATACTTTTGTTTCTTTTCAGCTGGTTTGAGAATCTTTAAAATAATATATATTGTTAAATAATGATTTGATCCGTATTGAACTAACCAAAATTTCACTTACCTGAAACGAACACATGAGAGTCTCGTCTACACTCATCATCGCACCAGCATTATCAAATTCACCACAATAGTTTGGCGCCGAAAACAATGTAACTAACTGCCGCTTGGCAAAGAATTCGTATCCATCCTCCACTACTTGATGTGCTCTACATATCAAATCCATGTCATGCTTTTGTAAGAACCGACTAACAACATCTGGGCCAAATGTAAAAGATACACCACGATCATTTTCGCTCCAGCCGGCAATATCTTTATCAGGATCAGACCACAATAAATCGCATAATAGACCTGATTAGAGTTAGATTTTCCACCAAACGTTAATAAAAATAAAAATCGATTTACATAATAAAACATAAAAAAAAATTGCAATATATATGTTGAACATTTTACCAGTGTCGGGAACATCTGTGGGTCGCATAACTCTTCTAATTTGTTCCATACTTTGGAGATCAGGTGATAAACCACCATGCATAGTGAAAATCTTTTCGTCAATAATTGCGGCAATTGGTAAGCAATTGAAACAATCCGTAAAAGTTTTCCACAATTTGATATTGTATCTTCGCTTGCCTAAAGGTTGTTTAATTAATTTTAAAGCAAATTTATACTAGTAAAGCTTAATAAATAAAAATCGGTTTTTTTACTTACATTCATCATAAAAACCATAAATACGATTGATGCTCGCGCATTCATGGTTACCACGCAGAATGAAAAAATTTTCCGGATATTTTATTTTGTAAGCCAATAAAAGACAAATGGTTTCTAACGATTGCTTTCCCCTGTCAACATAGTCACCAAGAAAAAGGTAATTTGCTTCAGGAGGGAACCCACCATATTCAAATAATCTTAAAAGATCATAATATTGACCATGTATATCACCTAAGAATAAAATAATGATAATAGTAATAAGAAAGGGGGAGGAGAAAGAAGGCTTGGTCCAATTGAATATCTATATAATAACCAATAATACAAAAACAAAGGTTAAATATTCTCACCGCAAATTTTTATTGGAGCTTCAAGTTCGAGAAGTATAGGTTGAGAAATAAAGATTTCCCTCGCCTTTGTACAAAGATATTTGATTTCAAACTCTGCAAGTTGCACTTGCTTACCAGGCCGACACCCTCTTACTAAGAATTTTTAAACCAAATTTTAGAAATAATTTTTTTCTTTCATACAAGATAATGAATCGTAGCAGGAAAGTTTGTTATTAAAAAAAAAGTTTGTTTGTCTTATATAAAACGCATTTAAATATCCAAACCAAGTTCCAAAAGAAATAATAGTGTATATATATATAAAGTTAATACCTTCCAAAAGTCTGTCAATGACAGAATCAATATCTATTTCAAGAGAATCACTCATGTTCCTTTCAGCTCTTGTTTAGATTTGCAAGAGCTATGAAAGCTTTAATAATGAAGGAGGTTTGTTTGTACGACGCCTTGACACTAACGATACAATAATTAGAGGCACTGAAAACCAAAAGTATAAAGATCGAGTGTAAAAACACGTTAGCAAAGAGTTTTGATGAAGGTTTGTACAAACAATTTCTATTTAGTTGAGCTGCCAGATGAAAGAGTGGTTAATGGAAACTGCAACGACAAGGTTCACACCCAGTATTTGTGACTGGGCTGTGTACAGGCATCCAGCATAGTATATAAAGGTGGGAGGAAGTTATGGGTAACAAACTTTTTTTTTATTCTTTCTTCAAAATTAACTTCCTGTTTTTTTTACTTTATCAAATTAATACATACAAATAGGTAGCGAGACAGGGAGCGAAATGGTCGGGCAGAGAGAATGCGTTTTAGTGTGGGGTAGGAAGATGATGGATAGGTTGGTTGGCCTGAGTTGGATGAGTTAGCAAAGGGTAGAAAGTTTTTGACTGGATTGGAGAGAGGAAAACTCTATGGTGCTGATTGCCCAAAACAGAATTTTGGTGGCATGGTGATGCCTTGATGCATCATTCATATTGGTTACAACAATCTCTAATAGATAACCAAATATCTCCTAATCGTTCCAATTTTCAAATTGATTTCTATAGATAACGGTTTTTTTATTAAAAAATATACTAAATGGTTATGATATGATATAATAAAGGCAAGATAATTTCGCTCGAAATCATTCTTAAAAACCTATTAAAAATTCCCTATGCAAAAAGTTTAATGAAGTTGATTCTTAAAAGGTTATGTTGGAATTATTCATCAGGTTTAAAACAGGTAATCTAAAATCCACAGGGTGTTACATCAAACATATAAACGATGATATCATTTCTTTTTTCTTTTCATTTACTTTTTCACTATTTCTTTCTTTACTAATCGCGTCGTTTTTTGCTCCGAAAAAGGTGACATTTAATTAAATAAAAGAGAAACTACGCGCGTAGAAACGAGTATTAATAAAGGTTTGAACATTTTAAGTAAAATTTCTTTGTATAGTTGATTTGGAAAGACAAGCTTGTTAATTATAATTATTTACAAGTATAGTCATTGTAATTTATTATAACAGTATTTAAAGTAATTATTCTTCATTTTAAACGATACACAAGGATTTACTCGAATAAAAAAAATTAAAACCATACTTCTATTCTAAATTTTCATTATGAATATCAACATTTGGATGAATAGTCAGCATGGTCCGACTTGATTGCTCATCAATAGATGAATCTACATCATCATCCGATCCCTCGGGTTCGATTTCATCATCTACAAATGCGGACTGGCCAATTGGTAAAATTGGTAACAACCATTCATCCTAATTTTATAATAATAATATTTTATAATAATAATATATTAATTAATTAGTCAGACTCCTTCATATTATAATTAAATATCCATATATTAGCAACTTTCACCTTTATTAATTGTTTCACCACTTTCTTAAATTTGGTCTCTTTCGTTGAGAATGATTCCAAAGTCAATTCACTTTCATGTTCTTCCAAGCACCATTGGATTAATTCGCGTTCTTCGCATGCTGATTTAATTAAAATCAAAAATACATCAACATTATACAAAGTTGAAATTTGATAGAAAAAGTCAACTTACATCCTTTCACTTTTAATCTAGATATGATCTTGTCTCTGATCTTTGTAAATTCTTCGAAAGTGATGGTATTTTCGGATCTACTTGGACGTTGTGGAGTCGCTTGATTCGAATTCGAGTCATCATCATTATCTACTTCCATTGTATCATCATTTTCCGGATTTACATCGTCGTTATCCATTTGGTCATCTACTTCATCCTCATCTAACAATAAATCATCATGATAGACATGAATTATGGATTGTTGCAAAAGGTTACACGCTTCATTTACGTAGTCCGGTATTATCTAAATATAAAACAATTAGTTAAATTACATTATGTTATCAAGAAAGACGAAATCATTTGATATTTCCAACTTACCTCATTATTACAATGAGCTTTTGCAATGGCTTCAGACAAACGTATCATACTTTCAAGTTGGCGAACGGTAATGCGATAAGAATTTCTACCAGCACCAATCGCATCATCCTGTCGAAGATCTCGATATTTTTCGGAAAATAATTTTGCAGCCGCTGAAGTGATCTTTAATTTTAAGTTTAATATATTTGGTTAATTATAGATAAATATATTTTTGTTGTAAGATACTCCATATATACCTTTGGTCTGAAAGTTCGTGCGTAACGGATATATCTCTGAAGTTTGGCGGTATCGAAGTGTGGATTAATATTATCATCTCCATGTCGATGAGTTCCAACTATATAATTCGCAATCATCTTGTCTACATCTGGTTTACACTCGTCAAGTACAACAAAGAATAAATCAAATCTAGACATTATAGGAGCTGACATAGCTATATTTCGCTAATAAAGAGTAAAAATTAAAAAAATTTAAAAAATTTCAATATAATTTCGTATTTATAATTTATCATCAATACTTACTCGAAGTGTTAATTTTCTATTGTAACGTCCATCCCTGGGATTCGCAGCTGCCAAGATAGAAGTCCGAGCGTTCAATGTTGCATGAATACCAGCTTTGGCAATAGTAATGGTTTGTTGTTCCATTGCCTCGTGAATAGCAACCTGATCAGGTATATCCATCTTATCGAATTCATCGATTGCACATATTCCCTGTTTTGATGTTAAAGTCACTTTAAGTCTCATATGCTCACAAAAGATACTTTATAACTTTTTAATTATTTTTTGTTAGTTACATTATCTGCCAACATTAAAGCACCGGCCTCTATGGTAAAATCACCGGATTCTTCATCTTTAACAACGGCTGCAGTCAAACCGGCAGCGGAAGCAGATTTGCCAGATGTGAACACTGAACGAGGATTCATCACACAGGCATATCTAATATGAAATATTGAATGAACATGATAGTAAAAATAAATGAAAATAAGATACATACAATAAATAATACTTACTTGAGGAACTGGCTTTTACTGGTGCTAGGATCTCCAACTATACATACGTTAATATCACCTCTTAATTTAATTCCTTCCGGAGTAATTTTGTGAACACCACCCAAAAGCTGAAGAAGAATTCCTTTTTTTACAATTTCGTGCCCTTAAACATAATAGATATAAATTTTCTTCAATAAATGTAGTTAATAATAAAGAATAAAGAATTGACTACCAACCAAAAACTGATGGAGCTATACTCTTTACAAGTTTTTCAAAAATATTTTCATCTCGGCCCATATAAATTAACTCGTTCTTTTCATCTTCTGTAAGCAACGAAAGAAATGTTTTTTGATCTTCATCAACAGTCTCATATTCCAGGCTTCCAAGCGTCTTACCGAGCTATAAATTGCAAGATTAATAATTATAAACATCCGATTATTAAGTTTCTTAAAAATGAGATATATTTTTTTTTATACCTTGACATTCTCGGTATGTACAGTACATGCCATGAAAGATATTTTATACGACAAATCTCTAGCACCAAGAACTTTTAATCCAGTAACTCCTTCGCGAGATAACCCATCAGCAAAAGTACGATTGCTACGATTATCACGTGATACTTCGGCACCAGTGCCTGGAATACCAAGTTGATTGATATCCGGGATAACAAGAGGAGTACCCACGAATATACATTTATTACCGGGTTTTGCCTTTTCAACCATTTCTTGCCGAACAATTACTTCAAGACTTGATAAATTTTACATTAATCAACATAAGTAACTTTATTAGAATAGAATAGGCTCATTCATAACTCACGTTCGAGGCATGCTTCCTGTTGGTATTTCATTGGGGTTTTCTTGTATACGAATTCGTTGCCAATCTGTAAAAACGGAATGATCGCTATCGAGAACCCACGCAGTACGATTGTTACAAGTAGGAGTTTGACACATGGGAGGCTACAAGAAATTTACGCTCAATATTCTGCAAGTAATAAACACACTTGAATAATTCATGGAAAAATCACATATAAACACCTCAGTATATCTGAATTGTTGTTCCACATTAGGTACATCAACTTTACATTCCTGGCATGTAAATTTTCCAAAAAGCAATTCTGGTCGTACTTCACTAGTTCTTGTGACAGTACCGCTAATACTCATTAGACATCCTATTCTTTCAGTCTTTATTTCCCGGATGCGATGTATGGTTGGCATATCATGAAAAGCTACTAAATAATCAAGAGCGTAAGACCTTTCTAAACTTTCCCTTGCTGCTTCACCTTCATCCATCTTTTTTCGTTTTTTATTAACTGTCCTGAGGAAGACGTCATCATCTTGATCCGTTTCAAGATCATTTTCATTCTTATTATTTGAGATTTTATCTTCGTTTGGAAAATACTTATCGACAAGGATCTCAACTGCTTTACGAAGATAAGGTTCAATCCTTTGTTTTTATTTTGAAAAGAAAAAAAAAAGTTTCATAAGTATATTTATATTATTAAGAAATCAATATCCGTGATTTTATAAAATAATAATACCTATAGTATTGATATAATATCGCTTGCCATAATGTTTGGGTATCTTCCCAATGAAAAATATCGCTAAAATTTACATATAATACGTGTCTGTCTTCATGAACCATATTTTCTAATTGTTTAAGATATGGTCTAAAATCAAGTATTTCATTTTTACTCTCGAAGCTACAATAGCAAATTTACATTTTGTTATACATAATAAATGTACGCGTTTATTGAAGAAAGTCTAAGAACATGATATATATGAACATACTTTTCGATAAATTCGATAAACAAGTATCCAAATTCTGAGGCAAATTCATCTTTTGCTTTTTGTATTCCTTCGAATATCTTTTTTTGTCTGGGAATGCTTTTTTTAACGACTTCCTCAGCTTCGCCATTTCTATCAACATCCATTATTTTGAAAGAGAGAGTAAGTAGTAAAAGGGAAAAAAAAAAGAAAAAAAAAGAAACGCGTATTAGCATAGAAGTATGATTCATTCCATTGCCTATCACTATTCAATAAACGTGTCGACCTCACAAAAAGAGCAAATGAACAGGATGTTATTCAAACAAATCAGGTTTTCAATTACGATATTAGGATTCATCACATATTTTACGGTTGCATTTGAATAATGTCAAAACCGAAGGCACAGCTAACCGATTAATCTTTCATCATTTGTTTTTTAACATCTATCATATTTTTGATCGGCAAGATAAATTTTTATAAAGTCTAGATGATCTCCACGGAAATCCAAAAACAGTTTTACCAAAAGCCATTTTGATTTTTAAAATTTGATAGATAAAACAGCTAATGATACTTTGTGGGTCAACCAAAAAAAAAAGGTCAAAGTTGACCTTTAAACTTTCACGCTCAATTAGCAACCTGTTGATGATTTTTATCTAGCAACAACGTGAGAACAAAACTTATGAAATGGCTTCCGCTCAAGGTTTCAACGCCAGCGGTCAATTTCTGGAAGAGACTTCTGCAATTGAGCAGGGTATTCAAAAAGCTGTGAATAATATTGATATTATTCAAACGCTGCAATTTCGTATTTTAGTTAGCGCTTCCTCAGATAAAGAAGGATATGGAGAAGAACGCGAGACTCTCATGACCGAAACAAAAAATCTACTATTAGAACTTAAGGACCTAATTAAAAAGATCGAATATGAAAATGTTCGACTGCCGAAAAGTGATCCCAATTTAGGTCTCCGCAAACAAAGATATGAATTTCTTCGTGAAAAGTTTTCCCACGCACTTGATGAATATCGAAATATTGAAAATATCTACATGAGACAACAAAAAGAACGGATGGTTCGTCAATACCGGGTGGTTAATCCCGAGGCAAGTCAGCAAGAAATAGATGATTATTTGGCTAATCCTTCTGATCAACCGGTATTTCAACATTCTTTAATACGTTCCGGTGAAGCTAAAGCTGCATTAGATGATGTGCAAAAACGACATGGTGATATTAAGCAAATTGAACAAACCATTTCAGAGCTAGCTGTTCTTTTTCATGAAATGCAATTACAAGTAGAGGTACAAGATTCTGTACTTGTATCTGTTGGAGAAGAAGTGAATGAAACTTTGGTGAAATTTGAAAAGGGTAACTATATATATTTGGTTTGAATTGTTTATTATTAAGAAGTTTGATTTTAATTAAACCTTATAAACAGCGAACGAAAAATTGACTTACACAAATAAAATTGCAAGAAGTGCCAGAAAGAAAAAATGGATTTTATTTGGAATCATTTCTTTTATTGCTCTTATTATAATTATTGTGATCATAATTAAATTTTATAGCATACATAGTAATTCTGCTTCTGATGTAACTCATGTTATTCCTATTATATCTACACCTACTTAAATGTTATTTTTTATAGGTTAGTTTATAAGTAAATTTATTTACATAATCAATATCTTTTGTAAATATTTGTAATATAAAAAATTAATTATTAACTTTTATTAAAAAATAATAATTAATAATTATTATACAATATATTAAATTTTTAAATTATCTTCTAATATAAAAATTATATTCAAATAATTAATGATATAAAAAAAACTATATAAGAAAAACTTGATAGAAAAGTAGTACAATAATACCAGTTAAATGAATTGTCTCTCAGAAAGTTGTTCGTCATTGTTCAGTCTGTGAAAAAGCTAGCCATACAAAGATTAATTGTCCTGGAGTTGAGAGGATTAAAAGAGAAAGTTGGGGAGAGTAATGAATAAATTGATGATAATAAATCTGCTCTAAACACCTCTGACTGAAATTGCTATGCTGTAAAAAAATAGTATAAAATGCAATACCTATGAAAAAGACTCACAAGAAGAAATCCTCTACTTCCAAGTTTCGTAAAAAAGCAGAACCTTCAGCACCTATAACTATGTTTATAGATTATGTTTTTCTAATAGCCTTAAAATCTATATTATTATCAGTTATACAACATATTCCTAAAGAAATTCTTAAGGAAGACTCTCAATATATTAATATAATATTCTTTAAATTGAAAGATCAGATTTTGAATACGACTATAAAAGATGATACTGTTATGAAAAGGAAAAAGTATAGGGGAATGTTACAAATAAAATTATAAGCTTTTTATTCAAGTCTCGATAAAAGAAAAGCTAGAGTCAAATGATCCTATGAATGACACAGGTCGAACGCTGATAAATCAGGTACCTTCCTGATTGGTCACTATTTTTTGATTAGCAATCAATAGATAGAAATCAGTAGATACTACAATCGGGTATAAATTGATTAATACCATAATCATAATTATTAGGTAGAATTACATAAATCGGGTTCCAGCCCAATTTTATATTTATTTTTAAAAATTTATAACTATATGTTAAATAGTAACAAATCGAATTCAATTAATAATTAGTTATCAATCAGTTTAATACCCGATTGATAATACTTATTCAATTATAATTTACCAATTGATTTCTATATTAATAAATTTACCGATTGTTTCAAATTTATTAATTTATTAAAGTAAACCGATTGTTACAAATTTATTTAATAAGATACAATTAA